GCTAACTATGAAGTTATTACTATATTTTTCAACAGATAATCCCAGAGAATTGTGTGCCTCATATGATGTATCTGAAAGGTAGTGTTAATGTTTTGAACATACAGCCAGGTCGTCCTACGAATCTCAACTGTCCATATGAGATTTCTAAAAAAAGTGAAGACATGAAAATCAAAGGATGGAAAAAATGTATGGACAGTCGTAAGGAGCTTCTTGGAAGCAAAAGGAAGCGAAGCGCAAGAATTGGAGACAGGATGATCTCCATTCTCCATAATGGAGAGTCAGGGTCTATATTGTTTTATGTTATTTTAGCTTAAATAGGATATTTAGGTCCTGCCTAATACTGATGATCATGTGCTAAGAACAATTAAGTAGGGTTGGTTCGAAGACTATCAAGATGATGATCGTATGACTTGTTATGAATAACGAGTAGAAGTTGTATGATGATGATTAGTAGGACTTGTTAGGATTAGTATTACTTCTGACAAACTCGATACTCGCGGTCTCGAGACTTGTAATGTTTTATCTTTGTTCGGTCTTTTGAATTCGGAGACTAGTATGATGAATTGTATTCGGAGACTAATCTTCTATTGTATTCGATGAATCTGTTATTGCTGTGTGCTACTGTCTATATTCTGTCAAATAATATATTTTGTAACATGTGCAAAAATCAGAAAAGTAAAAAAATAAAACCTAATATTCATACTAATGGCGCATCACTACAGAGTGCGCCATTAGTATGCCAAGTATACTAATGGCGCATCCATCTGCAGTGCGCCATTAGTGTGCCAAAGCACATGGTTAAATATGACCCCTGGGAGGCACACTAATGGCGCATGGTGTTATATACTAATGGCGCACTGGATGGTGCGCCATTAGTATACCAGATACTAATGGCGCACCAGTGATGCGCCATTAGTAAAAATTATTAGTGGCGTGCTACTAATGACGTACCGGTGATGCGCCATTAGTAGGCAAAACCGGTGCGCCATTAGTAGGCATTTTCCTAGTAGTGTTTATTGATGCTAATCGACCGTGCGGATAGGTAATCTCGACACACTGGATGGTAGCTACCTTACCGCATCTCTAAAGTAGACTCTCAAACCATCCGCATTCATCTGAACTGACTTGTCTGAACATAGTCTTACATCCAACATGATACCCCATCGGTTCGTCGATGCGTTAGGATGTCCGTTTCCCGCAAACCGGAAGTAAACCAGGGGGCTTTGCGGGAGTCAGGACATCCACTGATCCACATGACGAATAAAAATCCACCATGTACCCCTCTCCTCTCGGTCAGATGGCGGAAGGCTGCTGATGCGGTTTGATGGAGGGATTAGCATGGTTGGCATTTGGCGGAAGCCACTAATCATTTTGTTTCAAAAAAAAATCCTTCCTTTTTTTTCTTGAAATGCTCATTTGGCGGAAGCAACCAGGCTGGCTACTAGTTCATTTGGTGGAAGCTACTTGCTTCATTTGGCGGAAGCTAGTTAAAATGCTTAAGCAAGCTACTAGTTCGTGCTTCATTTGGCGGAACCTACTTGCTTCATTTGGTGGAAGCTAGTTCAAATGTTGAAGTACTTGACGGAAGCTGTGCTAGCACATGGATTAGTAGTCTTCCGCCAGACAAAAGGCTACTAATTATCGTTGTTATTTTTTAAGAGAATCACATGGTTATTTTCACATGTTTGGCGAAAGATATTTGGCAGAAGGTTATTTAGCCGAGCATGGATTAGGTTTAATAGAAGCGGATATTTGAGGTACAAGAGTGGATGACCGGTTCCCGTATCAGTGTTCGTGGACTGGTCCTCACCTGTCTGCAGACAGATGCAGTGTCCGATTTGGAGGTCAGCGTTGGAGATGCCCTTATGCTTAATTTGATTTCGGACTGGGTGTCATAAGTAACAAAGGGGATCCTTCTCATCTATCAATTATCGTGAATGATTTGACCATGTTTGCGAGTTAAAGTAAATCCTATGGTGTTGTAAAGAAACCATTTAATACTTACATCATTATCTTGTTATCACATGATTTGCATGGGCAAGTGGTCTTCATAACTTTTCGCTTATGAACCTCATATTTTTATTGAAATTAGTGCAGGAGACAAGCATAGGCTTGGGCCCAATGATTCCAACAGAAACACCGCCAACTATTTATGGTGGTGAACTTGTGATTGAAGCAAGTTGCCAGGAATGTTTTTACTCCACATGGACGGCGTGATTCTGCGGGTTGGCCCTCCCCAACCGACGTCTTAGCATAGTTTTGTGTCTTCCGTGACTTTACTAATTCTTGATGCATATTGTTGTGTATGTGTGGGTCTCTGATGGTTGTGTGCATCTTAATTATACAGAGATCAAGTGTGTGCCTATTTTTTTTTGGAAAAGGGGTGATTCCCCGGCCTCTGCATCAGAAAGATGCATACGGCCATCTTATTAACCAAATGAAGTAGTGCCAACATGGTTCCAAAGGTCTCCATAAATAATAATAAAAGCACAGACAGCTCACACAGAGCCAATAGGGGCTAGAAACACCAACTAGCCGAGGAAAGACGCCACAACCGGCTGGCTAAAAAAATAGATAGAAAATCTAAATGCCTATCCTATTACATGACCGCCATCCAAAGCGGTTGAATATATCCCGAGCTATCATCTCCCAGCGGAAAGACCCAGTAACCAAATGCTCCCTGGCCTCCGTCTGGGTGAGTAGCGACCACGAACGGATCAGTGCCGTAGTACGGAATATGACCTGCAAAAAATGTATACATGATATTCTGTTAAAAACCAAATCATTTCTGCAAGTCCAGATAGTCCATAGCAAAGCACAAACTCCAACCCGAATATGTCTCGCTAAGTTAGGCTCAATCCCATTAAGCCATGTCCCAAATAACGCATAAACAGAATTCGGTGGATTGATACTAAAAGCAATGTGGACCGTCTGCCAAAGTACCTTGGCTAACGGGCAATCAAAAAAGAGATGTTTGATAGTCTCATCCCGATGACAGAAACTACACCTAGTAGGTCCTTTCCAATTACGCTTTATGAGATTGTCCTTAGTTAAAATAACTTGTTTATGGACAAACCACATAAACACTTTTATTTTCAAAGGAACTTTGACATCCCAAACATGCTTGGACGTAGGAATGGAGTTTGAATTAATAACATCAATATACATTGATTTAACCGTAAATACTCCAGACTTAGTCAGTTTCCATCGTAATTCATCGGGTTGTTGTGAAAGCTGGACTTCCATCAGTCTCCTAACTAGATGGAGCCATTCTTCCCAACGATTGCCCGCTAGCGTTCGTCGGAACTGAATATTAAGGGGGCTAGTGTGTGCCTATTATGTTTGCATTATCTTGGGGTGACATTATGAGTCAATGTCATTTAAGAAAAATAGCAGCAGCATCCCCTGCACTAAACCATCATTTTGGTGTAAAGAGGTCATCTTATTTTCTTTCTCTTACTACCTAGCCCTATAGTGATAAAATGGGAAGTCAAAACATCGTTTTTGAGGAACACAATTATCTCTTGAAATATGCTTTATCTCACTTTATAAATAAAGCAGCCACTGCATCAGTACAAGAGGTGTTGTGCCGGGGTGCCAATATCGAGGCCGAGCTTTCGCAACGTGAGGGGGGTTATCCTAGGCAGATCTAGATAGTGGATGTGGCGTCTGTCTTACCGCTGAGGAGTGGCTTCAACGCTAAGCTCCTACAAGGGCGAGTATGTATTTTGGTGGTAGCGAACTCGCGAGAAGTGCTAACATTGCCTACTTCCATACCATGGAGAATGGATGACGACCGAAGTGCTATATACCGTGTGTGTCTATGGGAAGGGGAGGTTGTTTTGCGGGATGCGAGGAACACAATTACATACGAGTACTATTATTCAGCTTTGAGGGACGAGGCGGCTTCCTCTTGTGCATTGTTATTGACAAGTGGTTACAACACCCAAAATTATGCGGATTAATGCTCGAGTCCACGGGTCGTCGCCGGTCCTTTGATCTTGTCGTCGTCGATGCATGCTTGCCGTGAGTGGTTTCCGCCTTGTTTCGCGCCTTGGCTCGTCGTACATATGCGTCATATCCTGAGGTTTTGATTTAGTTAGTACTAGTAGCGAGTACGGTCTAGTACTACTAATATGATGTACGCTAGCTTATTCAATTTAGGTGCCGAATAACATGATGTATCGAGGCAGGTTTCGACCCACTCCACTTGATACTACCACCACGAGGGCAAGTTGGCGAGTGGGCATTAGGTATACCCACTTGATCACGGATGCAGTTATTCATATACCACGAGCTTGCGTTACCTGAGGTACGTGCCCGCTATAAAAGGTGAGGCCAACGTGCTGCTCATCACATCCATTGCTACTTCTCCAAACATCAGCAACCACCACCTAGAGCTACCGCGACCTAGCGAGCATGGCGCAGCTCGTCATGACGGCTACCCTCCTGCCCAAGCTGGCCAGCCTGCTCTCGCCGGAGTACAGCCTCCACCGGGCAGCCAGGGGCGAGATCATGTTCCTCAAAGTCGAGATGGAGAGCATGCAGGCGGCCCTCGTCAAGGTCTCGCAGGCGCCAATAGACCAGCCGCCGGACGTCCAGGTCAAGCTCTGGGCCAAGGAGGTGCGGGACCTGTCGCACGATCTCGAGGACAGCGTCGACAAGTTCATGGTGCGTATACGCACCGACGGGCTAGACAAATTGCATACCTTCATGGGCTTCATCGATAGGAGCCTCAACCTCTTGACCAAAGCCAAGATCCGCCACACGATACTCACCGATGTCAGGGACATCAAGAGCCGCGTCAAGGAGGTCAGTAAACGGCGTGAGACATACAAGGTCGACACAGTTCCTGCTAGGCCAACCACCACAACCACCGATAGCCTTCGCCAATTAGCCTTATACAAAAAGGCTACTGAGCTCATTGGCACCGAAGAGAAGAGCAATGAGCGGTGGAGATGTAGAGAAAGGGCGATGAGGCGTCGGCCAAGCAACTCAAGATGGTCTCCGTCGTCGGTTTCGGAGGATTGGGCAAGACAACTCTTGCAAATGCGATGTATCAGAAGCTTAAAGGGGATTTTGATTGTGGAGCTTTTGTCTCGGTGTCTTTTACTCCTAATATTGAGAAGATCTTGAAGAGCTTACTCCATCAACTTGACAAGAACTGGTATCATAATATCAACGAGTCAAACTGGGGAGAAGCAGAACTCATTACTGAAATCAGAGAATACCTTCCGAACAAGAGGTATGTGTTTATCATGCTCCTTGGATTTTTTATATGTTCTTCGTGAGTTCTAATTACCTCCTTAAATTGATGTTTGTGGTTAAAACGTAAGCTAGTATCCTAACCAACATTCCCTCGGTTACTTACAACTAATTGTGAGCATGTTCCTCGTAAGGCTAGATGTTTAAGAAATCAAATAAACAGCACGGGTAGTTAAGACTAATGGCCTATATGTAATCATGGTCGTTTGTATCATTGGCCGCAATATTATTCGTATTAGTCTTTCAGGCCAAACCGATATGAGCCTACTAACGTCTATTTTGAACCTTTGTGTGTGCTAGGCTAACTGTAACAAACATTGTGAGAACATAATTTACATAACTATGTACTTCTTATTTTTGCTAAAACCATTAGTATTGATTTAACAATTGTATTATATTGTTCTTTTAAACACTTTTAGATAATTCTTTTCTAGTTCATCCATTTCCTGCCCCTGTGATCATCTTTTTTTAAATATAATATCATATCCATAACTCCAAAGCAAGTAATCTTTGTACACTAGTTCTTGTAGAATTGTAATATAAAAGTAACCTAACTGTTTGAATTTCTACATTGTATTTAATGAATGCTTTCAGAAAGAGAAAATTTAAATTCCCTAAATATTGTGAAATCTTCAAAATTGAAACAATGTAGGCATAATTTATAATATTGTCATGTATTTTCGAATTTTAGGGACAAGTCTCGCTCAAGTCTAGGCTAGAATTGAATACATGTGCTTCTGTTTCTCAACACTTAACATAATTCATTGATTTTATTCTGGTATGTCATGATGTGTTATTAAATTTTACCAAGTGGATCTTAGATGTGTCAAGATGAAAAAAACGGTTCAATAGGTAAATGTAGGAGAATGAGCTACTTAGATTGTAAAAGACTAAATTAAAGTTTAAAATGGGTTATCTATAGCACATCAGCAACAAAATTACAGGGTAAAATTAGTCACTTGGAACAAGGCTCTTATTGCGTGCCTTGCTAGCCTGACACTTCTAAACCGCACGAATAAAAAAGAATACACTCCATGTCCATAGTACATTGATATTTTTCTCTTCTGTGGTGAAAGCCATCTGTGAACAAATTTTTGATTCATATAGGTGGTACCGTCACTAAAGTCCTAATTGCACCCTTTTGTATTAACATGTTTTGCTTAAAATATCTCAATGGTGTTCAAATAACGAGAACATATAAAAATACAACCACTAATATATATGATCATTTGGTATTTTCTCATAGGTACATCATTGTTATAGACGACATATGGGATAAATCAGCCTGGAAAAATATTAGATGTGCTTTGATTGAGAATGAGTGTGGAAGTAGAGTAATCACCACAACCCGCATTCTAGATGTTGCCAAAGAAGATGGTGATGTTTATGAGATGAAACCTCTTTCTATTATGGACTCAAAAATATTATTCTACCAAATAATATTTGGAAAGGAATATGAAAGCCCTCATAAACAATTGATCGAAGTATCAGAGAAAATTTTAATGAAATGTGGTGGAGTACCATTAGCTATCATTACGATATCCAGCTTGTTGGCAGAAAGACATGACAGTGCACACTGGTCCAAAGTGTACCAGTCAATGGGCACCGGGCTGGAAAATAATCCAGATGTGAATGGCATGAGAAGGATATTATATGTTAGCTACTATGATCTGCCTGCTCCTCTCAAGATTTGCTTATTATATCTAAGTTTGTATCCAGAGGATTGCATATTCAGAGAAAATATTTAATATGGAAGTGGGTGGGTGAAGGTTTTATTCAGCCAAAACAAGGGGAGAGCTTGTATGAAGTAGGAGAGCAATATTTCGATGAACTTATTAACAAAAGCTTGATCCAGACAATGAATAGTAAATGGTATGGTGGTTTTGGTTTTTCAAAAAAGAAGGCAAGCCATTGTCGTGTACATGACATGGTTCTTGATCTCATCACTTGTTTGTCACAAGAAGAGAATTTTATGACAACATTAGGTGGTCATCAGTATGAGTCTTTGCCAGTAAAGGTCCGCCGACTATCCCTCCATACCAGCAAGCAAGAAGATGCCAAGGTGCTCTCTACAATGAATATGTCCCATGTGAGGTCACTTACAGTGTTCAAAAAATCATTTTCTTTGTTGCCACCACTTTCAAGCTTTCCACTCTTAAGTGCATTGGATTTAACCAACTGTAAGCAGGTGGATGATCACCACTCTATGCTTATATGCAGTATGTTTCACCTGAGGTACTTGTGGCTATATGGAACCTATATCACCGAGATCCCAAGAGAGATTGCAAATCTTCAACTTTTGCAGGTATTGGACATAGGCGAGACTGAAATAGAGGAGTTGCCATCAACTTTTGAACAGTTGTGTCATCTGGTGTACCTGCGTGTTAATAGTTGGATAAGAGTACCATATGGCTCTAAGAATCTGAAATCTCTACAAGAGTTGAAATCGGTGATTGTCATGTCTCCATCTGTCCTGATTGATCTGTCTGGGCTGACCGAGCTAAGGTGCCTTGATATGAAAGTCATTGAATGGAACAAGAGTTTTGAGGAGCCCTTCCGTCGCTGTCTATCTGGCCTCATCAATCTCCAAAGCTTAAAAGTAAATGGTTGTCGTATCACCGAGGATCCTGAATGTGGAAATTTATTGCTACCAGGACCTCAACAGCTTCGTCGCTTCATTGCACCGTATTGCAGGGCTTCTTCGGTTCCAAGATGGATGTCCTCACTCTCCTGTCTTTCATACATTGTAATCGTGTTGAACACACCGGGCGAGGAGGACCTTCATGTCCTTGGTTGCTTACCATCCCTCCGTCATCTCAACATGGATGTGTGCAGACACACACCACGACAGAGACAAGCATGGCCAGTCATCGGTGCTACCGGCTATCCGTTCAGGTGTCTAACAGAGTTGAGGTACGTTCAACATGCGGAGGTGGTTTTTGCACCGGGAGCCATGCAGAAGCTCCAGATTCTCGAGCTGCATCTCGGAACGCCGGATACCTTGCATCAGTCTGGGTATTTCGATTTGGGCTTGGAGAACCTCTCTTCGCTTCAACAGATAACTATCATGTTGAGTTTTTCTAAGGATCGGATGGGGGAGATGGAGGCTGCGGAGGCTACGCTTCGTAAAGCTCTCGACATGAATCCCAACAAGCCCACACTGAATAAGGTAACTCAAACTACTACTGGACATCGAATTTTTTGAACTACTACTTAATTTGATCGAACTCTAATTTTTTTTAAAAGAGCTCTAGTTAATTACCTTATGGTTAACTACTAATTGCTTTGAAAAAATTCAAAGTAATACTGTTTTACATTCCGTATACATCAACTTATAGTTCATGTAAGTACATACACTGGCAGTTTAGGTTGAAGCATGACACAGCTAAGTCAGTTGATTACTACAGTATAATGTTATTTCTCTACCATTTCGCTTTATTAGGTCACCGGTTGATTACTCATCCTTCAAATACCTTGTCTTTTTTTCCTTCAGTGGTAGTGTCCCTTTGCATAGCGTTGTCGATTCATTTCGAGCTACAACTATCACCGAGGTGTGCAATTTTGGATTTGGCATCGCGCGCAAAGTGTTGCCGTTGTTGCTTGAAAGGGTCGTGGTGACGTAGTCAGATCTCCTGGCGATGGTCGTGCGAAGCTGGGTGGTGGTGGTGGTGGTCCGTTGCTGCTCACGGGGGCGTAGTGCTGGTTATTTCCTGGGATTTGATATGTTTGATGTTTTCACCTGTAATAAGTAGTGACCTTGAGCTTTTATCCAATGCTAGCAGGTTTTTGCCCCGTAGGAAATGTTCGAATTTGGGCATCTCCAGCGGGTTTCCTGCTAGTGCACCAACTTGTTTTTCGCCGGCTCGGGTTGAAACTGGTGCCGGCGGACCCAGACCGAACCCGGCGCCCTGCGGGGCGCCTGGGGGCGCCGGCACAAGAAAAAGGTCGCGTGGGTCCGCCCTTTCGGCGAGTCGAGCGTCTCTTCCCGCCGTTTCATCCCGCTTTTCCCCCACTTCTCTCCCATTCTCTTCATTCCTCCCACCAATCTCCCACCCGCCTCCGCCGCCATGCCACCGAAGAAGTACGTCGCCCCCCGCGTCGCGGCAACCGCGACCGCCCGCGTCGCCCAGCCGAAGCAGAGGAAGTCGAGGGCACCGCCATCCAAGCCACCGAGCATGACGAACGTCGAGTGGAGGGTGGAAGTTCAGCGACGAGAGGCGGTCATCGCCGACCAGCGGAACCGGGCGATCGCCAAGAAGGCCCATGACAACGCGGCGCGGGCGGCGGCAGCGGCTTCGGCGGACCAAGCCGCGGCCGACGCGACTCGCACGGGGATGAGGAACCCACCCGGCAACCACGCCCAGTACGCGCCCTGGGGCCAGCAAGGCGTTGGTTCTCCGTCGCCGCAGCCATGGGGATGTACGCCCTCACCGGGCTACGCCGACGAGGATGCGCACGGTGGGTTCAACCCCAACGTCACCTTCCCCATGGACACCCGGCCCAGCGGACGCCCACGCCCGCCTTCACCGGCGTGCAGTACCCTCCATACAACTACTCGCCGCCCGCCTACGCGTCCTCCCCGACGCCCCCTCTCCGCCGTGGCGCGCTGCCCTTCTCGCACCTCGGCGACACCTACAAGACCGAGACCGACATGGATGACATCATCGCGACAGGCTCGGCCGCGGCCGCCGCATCTCCCGGGTTCGCCACCCCGGATGACACCGTGGATCTGAGCAGCGGCATGGAAGACGAGCTCGGCTACGTCTACGGCGAGGAGGAGTAGGAGGAGCAGGAGGAGGAGGACGAGGAGGAGGAGGAGGAGGAGCCAGCGACTGTTCCGGCAAGGAGGAGCAAGAAGAAGAAGCGGGCGGCCAGGTCCGGCGAGCCGCGCATCAAGTGGGCGTCCAAGGAGGAGGAATGCCTCGCCGAAGCATGGAAAGTCGTCTGTCTCGACCCGACCACCGGCACAAACCAGAGCATCGAGACGTACTGGGAGCGCATCAAGACCGAGTTCGACGAGCGCCAGCTCATCGACCCCTACTTCAAAGGCGTCTACATGCAGCGCGGGTCGAAGGCGATGGCAAACCATTGGGGGCGTATCCAGGGGGCGTGCAACAAATGGCATGGGATCGCCGAGGAGGTCGCGGCTCGCCCGGAGAGCGGCGCCAGCGTTGAGGATCAGGTATGCCACGCCGGTCTTCCGCCTCTCCTCGCCGTGTGCGCCCGCCAACTGTTTGTTCCTCCGCGCATTTGATGCGCATGTTCGCCTTGTATCGGCAGGGCAACAACGACGCCGAATTCAAGTACCTCTACGTCTACAAGCGCATAGACATGTGCGAGAAGTGGGCGGAAGTCCGGCGCACCCTCGACAAGGCCAAGGAGACCTGTAAGCCGGACGCGCCGACTGTGGACGCATCAGAAGGGCGGCCGGGCGGCAACAAAGGTGCCAAGAAGGGGAAACACGCCGACGCGGCCACGCTCTCGAGTGCAGGAGTCCATCGAGCACTGCCTCGCCGCCCGGGCTGTCCTTCATGAAGAGAAGACTGAGGCGCGGTGGTCGGCGTTGATGTCAAGCAGCGCCATCAAGCTCGACCTACTTCGGACCAACGTCATCATGAAGAAGAGAAACACCGACCTGGCTTTCCTGATGGGCGGGGCGGACATACTCCAGAGCACCGACGAGGCGGTCAAGGCGTGGTACTTGACGGAGCGGGGCCTCATCCTGAACCAGCTTCCATCGACGACGACGCCCACGCCGACGCCGACGCCAAGCCCGACTGATGATGAGGCCGCCGAGAACACCCGCAGCACAGAAGCCACACCGACGCCGTCCAGCGCAGAGACCCCGCCAAGCCCGCGCATGCTGACGCCGCCGACGCCGGAGGCCGACCTCGCCGTCTGATGCACACGCGCGTCCTTTCTGTTTGTTGTACGCCAAACTTGTGGCCGCGTGATCGCCGGATTTGTGGAGTCTATTTTGTGAGCGGGAATGATCTATGTTTGAATTTGCCGCGGCTGAGGGGCGGCGCCTGGGGGTGTGGCTGGGAGCTAGGTCACCCCAGGGGCCAACCTAGCGCCGATTCGCTCCCAGGCCGCTCTTTTTCTGCGCCCTGGGGGGCTGAACGGTTGGAGATGCTCTAAGTGTGCAATCAGACAAACATCGGAATATGTCATAGCAAGCAACCATCGGCTTCAAGGTAATGTGACTGGCAGTCTGGCACCATCTTAGTAGTAAGTGGTGTGGGACTGTGAGTGCCATGTACACCGATCGGATGAATTCCTTTTGCAGATAGGGTGCTCAATTTGCCCACTATAATACCGAGAGTTGATTTTCGCTATCCGGCTCCATGGAGCCTGAAATTTTCAAAAAATCAACTACTTAAATTTCATAAAAATCTGAGAATAAATACACATATACTTATAGATGTATATTACATGTGCATAAATTTCATCACAAGATACGTTTTGATGTGAACTGTGCAAAAACAAATCATGTGTATAATATACTCCATGTAGCTCGAGCTCCATTAGCAATTTCATAAGCTGTTGGAAATTGATCAGGCTCGGCAGAGGTAGAAGAGGTGGTAATCATGGTATCATGTGATGATGCATGTGGGGTCAATGGATGACGGTCGTTAGCAGAAGATGTTGTTGTCTGGAGTTGAATGTACACTGACGCCATTTTTTGTTCCCAACAGTGCATCCTATTTTGACGAGGCCACATCAGGTAATGCCACGCTAGCTAGCATTCAGCTGCTGCTGTCTGCTCCTCTATTTCTTCAGTTCAGAGTTCTCCGCGGTTCCCACTGCGATGTACTCAAGAAAAAACATAGCGCGCTATAAAAATTGGGTCCGCCCCTTAAATTATGCTATTAGCAAAACATTTGTACACTAATTTATTTAACAAGACAATTCTCTACACATTATAACATGCTATTAACGGCGCTATAGCGCGCTATTTTTCTTTCAATGGATGTACTCCCTCCGTCTCAAATGCTTGTCTTAGATTTGTGAGGTAATACCATGGAAACCAATATCCCTCTAACTGGAACGACCAAGGAAAATACGACGCGCGCGCACATCGTACTCACCCAATGTTCACGTTTGAAAAAATGCTGGCATGGCATGCTCCGTCAGAGTCAGACCAACAGGCAACAGCCATGTTCCATTTATATCTGATTACGCGCAAGTACTCTGACTGGTGTGTGTGATCGAGCTGCGTGTCAATCGCAAGCTTGTGAGACAGAGACAACGGAAGATGTGATGAATGTATCTGTGACATGCAACCTGCAGAAGATAAGATTCCTAGCTACGTACTTAGCTAGACAGGCACCAAATCAGGTCAAGACGTCTGCATTATTAGCTGGGGAGATCTTGACAAGTGTTGACAGCGAGCTTATGTAGCCTAACTGTGACATACCAACTGCCAAGTCCTCTCCCGTTATGATCTGCAGGTGGGTACGTAGGATAGCCTTGGGCAGTTAAGGATGCTGTGAGCAAAGCTCAGTTCCTGCTCTATTTTTTATTTTCCTTTGTATTTGGTCTCTGACCTTCTCTACGTACTTGGCCGTTCTTCTTCAATGGAGTCATGCAGTCATCCTGCTGTCTTTAGCCACAATGGGAGTAACTTTAGCAATAACTTCAAGTCCAACTCAACAAATTTGTGTATGTGGCAATGAGTTAATGAAGAAAGAGATAGTTGTAGTAACTTAGCTAGTTACTGTAACATCACATGTCCCAATGCAGTATGAGTCTATAACCTAATAAATGAAGCTTTGCATGACACCACACCTATGTTACTACTCACTATGAAGGCAGTAACATAGTCTAGGAATATGTGTATGTTACTAGTGTATGTTACTTGGACAAGATGAGGAGCGGGCAGATTCTGCCTAGCTTTGCCAATCGATCGAGCATGCTGACGAGATCCCAGAGCTACGCTATGCCGGCAGGAATGATGCACACATCTCTCTAGAGATCGACCGTTGCAGTTGCAGACGATGACCTCTCGCTGATCCTGAGTTTCTGATCCCATGACGGGACACCCATGGCATCCACCACGCACAACCAAAATTTTGGAGCAAACTGACCCTCACACAAGCATATCAAGAGCGGGTAGATAGTTTTGGGCCCAAGCTGTTGAGCATGGAACATGAGGACGAGAGTCCTTGGCAAAGCAATTAGCATGCATGAGGATCCCAACAT